TCATACACCTGAGGTTCCTAAAGAATAAGCGCAAACAAGGCTGAAAGGTAGTGGCAGTCTAGTTTTAATGATGGCGAAGTGCAGATAAGCCCTGAACTACTTCTATTGATTACAGAACTGAATGGTAAGGTTAACCTCTTCTTGCTCGCTTTGATAGGTGATTGAACTGAAAATGGACCAGATGAGGCTATGGGAAATGTAGACAGCGCAGGACCCACTGTAGGTATGGATAATGCTATTGGAAATGTGGATGGGGTGTTGCAAAATGTACATATGAGTGATGCTACGGGTAATGAACATGGGGTAGGTCCTGATGTTGATATGGTCGAGCCAGATGCTATGGGTGATGTTATGGGTAATGAGTATGAGTTGGATTCAGATGTAATGGACGATGTCGATGTAGTAGCACACGATTATGTTAATGATGGTGGTGGGGATGCTAATATCAATGTTAACCCTCTGGGGTCGACGGCATCGTCAGCGATGGCACGTATCTTTCTCGTGTATTTCAGTTTATAACTCGCTGAAATATTATTGTAGAAACATGAAAAAAACTCAGACTAAATCCATAATCTGTAAACCATGTCACCTTACTGTGTTTTACCTGCATCGGGGACGTGTAGTGCCGTTCTCACCTGAAGATCACTATTCACATTCTAAATAGCCACATTCCTGCATATTCAAATCACATTCGCATGGTCATTTGATGAACAACGCAATGGTGAAACGCGATCCAGGTACATCAACCATCTGCACCATAAAAGGGTGGGGGGGGGGGGGGGGCCAGATGGGAATGGCTCATGCATACACATGAAAGTTGCTACATATTCAATGAAAGGAGCCAGAAATAGTGACATGAGTTAGGTTTTTCTTATTTATTTATCCAACTGAATGTTGCAACTACACCATTTAGTCATCTTCATGTAGCCAAGACTTTGGTGATCAGATATCTGGGATCAAAACAAACTTCCACCATTGCTTACTATGTACTTTTATAATGTTTCAAACTGCATTTGGCAATGTCTATACTTTGATGTTAAATTACAAACTGACATAAATCTGACATATTTACAAAGTACACTAAGATTAAGATGAGTTTAATGCCAAGGAACAAATATATAAGAAATAATTTATTTGCAATGAATTAAGTTTATGATATTGAATGAAATGTGTGACCATGCCCCAGTCAGTGAAAGTGTGTTCCCTACCCCTAGACCCCAGAGGATTAACTCTGTCCACCAAATTTTGGAACATCTGTATCACTACCTGGTAGAAAAATATTATATCACACACACACATACTACGTGAAACAATAAACACTATGCATGACATAACACACAACACATTTACAACAACACAAGCGACTACTAAGAACTTCTAAGATCTTCTGCACAGTGGAGCTGGTGACCAGCTTGATGTCACCAGTGGGGACAGGATTTCCTCGGCCCTCTACAGCTCTCGCCAGGGCCTCAACTAGTGTGGCCGGTACCCGCAATTGGATGTGCTGCTCTTCCTGTGTGGTGCCGGGGAAGTCCCGGTAGCCCCTCCATGCGAGGATGCAGAGGTCCACTGCAAACTCCCCCAGGGTCTCACCATCCTCCCTTCACCGGTTTGCCAGCACGGTTTTTTCTGAAACTCCACACACTCACACTGCCCACCATGCCCGTCACCCCGCTTACTCCTAATACACACACACACACACACACATGCTACATACAATAATAAACATTAAACACTATACATGACATAACACACAGCACATTTCCAACAAAAGAAGTGACTACTAAGAACTATTTACAAAGCTGGCATCAGTCCAAACTGCCGTGCTGCCCACCGGTACCTCCGTGTTACAATATGATGTGCAAAATGCTTGAAAACCCACACGTCACTTCATGTAACCCATGCAGGGAGTTTGTTTTTATCAGTAAAAAAAATCGTGGGATCCCATATGATCAATCTGTTGAAAAACATCACCAATCCACAGAATGTGGCCGAAGCAAGAAGACCTGTGGGCTGGGAAGCGTTGCTACAGAGTCTGACTAGTCTCAACATACCACACACACTCATTCCCAACCACTACAGTATGTTCGCCGTCTCATAGAAGCATCTTATAAAACACCAGAACACAATAATTTGTCTTTGTCATTTATTTAAAACTACTGCATGCTTTTTTCAATGCCTTACAACATCTTTCCATTTACAGGTTGGTAAATACATTTTTCACACTGTTGATATATTTAAATTTAGTCACAAAATGAACCACTGTTGTGTCATTCTTTCTTAAATTGTTCCTACCACATGACGAAACACCTCGGGATCCCGGCTGGTAATCCCCCAGGCAGACACACGGTCCAGTCCCACCCTCTAGAAATGGCCATCCATCTGCCACAGCCAGGTGTTATGTGGGTGTCCCCTTGACCTGGTCCAGCCACTTGGAACGAGGATCCTGCAAGCCGATCACCCTCAGGGAAATGGCAGTAGTGCCGTAGGTGATGCTCCCTCACAATGCAGGTAATGTGCCTCATTCAGGAGTCCTCTAGCAACCACTCGTTCGACCAAAAGTCAAACCAGCGGTACCCAAGAATTCTCTGAAGCGGCACAGTACCGAAGGAGTCCAGTTTTCATCTCAGTTCACTGGACAGCATCCATGTCTCATAGCCATACAGCAAGACAGGGAGCACAAGGACTCTAAAGACTTGGACCTTCATCCTTTTGCAAAGATATCAGGAACACTATATGCCCCTTTCCAGCAATCTGACCCCCATGCTCTCCAAATCCATCTACTGACTTCATAGGATAACCAGAGACATGAAGGTTGCTGCTGAGGTAAGTGAATCTTTCAATGAGATGGACATTCTCCCCACAGACACTCTACTGATGGTTGTGCCTAAGAAGTCATTAAAGGCCTGGATCTTGGTTTTTATCCAGGACACTCGCAGACACTCAGACTCCTTGCTCAGTCTCTTGAGAGCCCCGATCAGAGCCTCTATTGACTCTGCGAAGATCACAGCATCGCTGGCAAAGTGAAGATCAGTAAATCTTTCTTCATCAATGGACGCCCCACAGCCGCTGGACCTCACAAACCTGCCCAACACCCAGTGCATACAAGCATTGAACAGAGAAGGAGCAAGAACACACCCCTGGCAAACCCCAGAATCAACTGGGAAGAATGCGGATGTTCTCCCTCCACTCTTCACAGCACTCACATTACCAGTGTACAGGGTAGCCATGACATCCAGCAACTTTGGGGGGATCCTGTAAAGTCCCAAGATGTCCCACAGGGCAACCCGATCAATTGAGACAAATGCTTTACAAAAATCAAAAAAGGCTGCACAAAACCTCTCATGATATTCACGTTTGCGCTCGATGAGAACCCTCAGTGCCAGGATCAATGATAGACTACTTAGGCATGCTGGTAGGCGGGAAAATTGATCTTTGATCCTGTTAAGGATGACCCTAGCAAGGACCTTACCTGGCACTGAGAGCAGTGGTATCCCCCTGTAGTTGTACAATCCTAGGCAATCACCCTTCCCTTTCTAGGTAGGGACTACCCATTTTCCAGTCAGTTGGGATGACTCCCAAATGGAAGCAAGCATTGCCTGAAATGCCATGAGGACAGCTTTACCAACACTTTGAAGAAGTTCACTCCAGATACCACAGATCCCTGTGGCTTGTGGCCTTCCCTACCCCCAGCTGATTCACCACCCATGCATTTCTCAGTGAGATTGGGTGATTCACATCAGAGGATCAGCCTCAAGAACCGTGGACCCAGAGATATCCAACGTCCTAGCCAGAGGATCAGCTTTAAACAACTACTCAAAGTAGTTGGTCCAGCGAGTCACAACTGCACCCATCCATAAGGACCGCTCCATAACCCGGCCTGACTCCAAAGAACAGATTCAGCTGTAAGTAATGCTTTGATACCTTTGTAAGCAGGACATGGGTCATTAAACTACAGATGGTGTGTCACCTGCTCACAGATTTGTCTAACAAATGCCTCCTTATCTGCCTGCAGATCCCTCACAGCCATCTTCCTCAGTTCCTGGAAGTACCACCAAGTTCTGCACTGCGACTGCTCTCGATAATATCCAGGGTTCCCTGCAAGATGAAACACATGCTTCTGGGAACACCCGCAACACCAATACAACCCTCAGCAACCTTCAGGGTCTTATCACATCACATTTGTCTGCAGTCGCACCCAAATCTGCAAGTTCCTCACATAAACTGTGTGCAAACTCATCAGAAACAGTCTGACCAAGTCTAGCCTCATTCTCCTAGTAGGTCATAGCCTACTGGATATAAGCTGAATCTTTAGAGTAGAAGCAACAAGTCTGTGGTTAGAATTCACAAACTGGGTACTTCTGTAGATCCTGTAGTTCTGCAGGAGCCTCCAGCGTCTGCCCATGAGGATATGATTAATCTCTTTTGCCACACCACCAGTATTGGATTACCAAGTCCAACAATGCGTCTCAGGGCATTGGAACCAGGATCCATTTACTCCCTGGTCTACAGACCCATGGGGACCAACACAATCCTCATAGCCAGTATTGTCAGTGCCAGTGGTCGCACTGAAGTCCCCCATGAGCAGAGATGGATCACCTTATGGGCACCCATCAACCACCAAGTGAAGTTGTGAGTAAAAGGTCTCCCTCAACGAGACATCACTCACTGCAATCGGAGCATACACTGAGACAACAGATAAGACACCCAAGGAGTGCCTTAGCCTAAGCCTCTTAATACGCTTATTGAAAGGACTGACATCAGACACCACTGGAAGGAGCCGGTCTGCCACAGCAAGAGCTACTCCCTGAGTATGGCAGGCATCAAAGTGACCAGACCAAAAATTAGGTGTATCCACCTACAGAGATCTGACCACTCCCCAGCCCGCATACCTCAAAGAGCATTGACACCGAAATGTGGAATTACAAAGTTCCCCCAATAGCAGAGGAAGACTTTCCATGCACCTACCTTGTATTGGCTGCCTCAAACTGGGAGCCAAATGCCACCATCCAGCAGGCGATGCCTCAGCACCACACCAGCCCTGAATCCCAACAGGCCTGACCCTATTAGCTCTCCGATGGTTTCGACTCTTCCGGGGATGAGGCTCCTGAAGGCTTTCCCCCATCCCCTTCATGATGTGTGCAGCCTTCCTATGGGTGGCTGTAGAAGAGCTACTCCTGCAGAGAGCAGAAGGGTGTTATGCTTGTTTGGACCTTACTGCTGTGAAGTGTTTTAAGGCAGCTGGAGTGGCAATCAACCAGCCCCGAAAAAAAATTCCCTGCCAGTTCAAGGACCGGTTGCCGGGCTGGATGCAGTTTAACATCATACCCAGGACAATGAATAGTGGTTGGCGGAATCTCATCTCCAAACACATATTACCACTCTTAACCAGAGAGAGATACTGATTTCATCCTTCAGTTAAATGCTTACAAATTATAGCTGTTTATGTACTAATTTCTTTCAATAGTGAACGGTTCAATTTTCAAGTGTTTCAAATTGTTTAATATATACCTACATACCTTAAAGAGTAAACCAATAAAATTGTGAAAAGAAATGATTTGTTGTTTATTTTACAAAGATATGCTAAAGTAGTATGGACAGATTTCTTGGTACCCCTAAAGAGACTTTATCCTTGCATTATACTCATGTTTCAAACTAAGTATTTAACCTTAATTAGTATCACAGGTGCCTTCAAGTTTTTCATCAGCCATTCAGCCTATTTAAAGGGAAAGAACATGCTATTTTGTTGTTTGGTATCATTCTGTGCACCACACTGAACATGCACCAGAGAAAGCAAAGGAAAGAGCTGTATGAGGACCACAAAGAAGGTTATAGATAACCATGGTCAAAGTAAAAGCTATACAAGTAGCTTCATGTTCCTGTGACCACATTTGCCAATATTAAAAATTACAAGGTTCTGTAGCCAAGGAACTGCAGCCAAACTCCTAGGACATGGACCCAAGAGGAAATGCAACCCCAAGTTTATCAGAAGGATAGTGCGGATGGTAGAAAAAGAGCCAAAGAAACCATCCAAAACTATTCATGCTGAGCTCCAAGGTTTAGGTATGTCACTTTCTGATTGCACCATCCATCGCATTCTGACTAATAATGGGCTCCACAGAAGAAGACCCAGGAGGACTCCACAGAAAACAGAGAAAAGCCAGAGTGGAATTCACCAAAATGCATGTTGACAAGCCTCAAAGTTTCTCGGAGAATGTCCTTTGTACTGATGAGATAAATCTGGAGCTTTTTGGCCAGTCGTATTAGCTCTATGTTTACAAAAGGAAAAATTAAGCTCTAAAAGATACCATATCTTCTGTGAATCATGGATGTGGTCCATTTTTGTTTTGGGCTGTGTTTTAAGATGATGTAAGGGGTATATAGGGCTCTCGAAGGAACAAACAGGCACACTTAGGTTCACTTCTAAAACTATTTATTACAAGTAATACAGAATAACCTTGTATTAAGATCAATACCAAAATATTGGATCAAAGGCAATGCAAAATAATCCTGTATCACAAGTGATATCTAATAATTGTGTGTATGTATGTGTGTGTGTGTGATATATATATGTATATGTATATATATATGTATATGTATATATATATGTATATATGTGTATATATATGTATATATATGTATATGTATATATGTGTATATATTAGTG